TTCGTGGCACGAAAGGCGGCTCCACCGAAGGCCCCAGTGGCAGGGTCCACATGCGGTTCCCCGCCCATGTCGGCACAACCCTCGCACGTTCCGTAGCCCCACAGGGAGCTCCACCGAAGGCTCCAGGGGCAGGGTTCGCATGCAGTTCCCAAGCCATCTCTGCACGCCCATCACACGTGTTGTGGCCTCCTGGAGAGCTCCACCGCACGCGGTGCCCACAGTGTGGGAACCGCATGCGGACCCACAACGCGCTATTCGCAAGTGCAGATGGTTGGGTCCTTCGTCATTCAAAGTTGGTGCCTCGCGGGCTTACGTTGCCCGTTCCTCGGAGGTTCCTCGGGTCTCGGGGCTCCGCCCCCTGTGCCCCGTATCCTCATTGTGCCCGTTCCCCGCAGGTTCATCGGGTTCCCCGGGTTCTTCCAGTTCCCGGCCCCCGGTGCCTCCTATCATTGTTGTGCCCGTTCCTCGGAGGTTCCTCGGGTTCCCCGCACTGGTTGTTGGTCTTGTTTACGGGCAACGCCAGGCAGCAGCGCCAGGTAACCTCAAGGAACGCTTAGCAGCGCCAAGCAGATCAAAGCAGTGCAAACAACGCCAAGCAATGCCAAGCAACGGCAAGTAATGCCAAGCAACGCCAAGCAACGCCGAGCAATGCCTAGCAATGCCAAACAACGCCAAGCACTTGCCAAGCAACGCCAAGCGACGCCAAGCAATGCAAAGCAATGCTAAGCAATGCCACGCAATGCCGAGCAGTGCCGAACACTGCCAAGCGATGCGAAGTAATGCCAAGCAGCGCCAAGCGATGCAAAGTAATGCCAAGCAATGGCAAGCAATTCCACGCATTGTCAAGCAACACCACGCATTGTCAAGCAACACCAAGCAATGCAAAGCAATGCAATAACATGCAAAGCAATGCGATGCAATGCCAAGCAATTATAAACAACGCCGCTTACGAAGCGATCCCCCAATCGGGGTCGCGCCAGGTTCATTGTTCTTTTTGTTCTTAGTGTTCTTCCCAACCATGCTGTTGTGTTGGGTCCTCGTTTTGAAGAGACAGCGCTCCGCGTCTCCTTCCTCCTCTCCTCCTCCTCCTCCCCCTCCTCCTCCTCCTCCTCCTCCTCCTCCTCCTCCTCCTCCCCCTCCTACTCCAACTCCTCCTCCTCCTCCTCCTCCTCCTCCCCCTCCTCCTCCTCCTCCTCCTCCTCCTCCTCCTCCCTTCTCACCCTCCTCCTCCTCCTCCTCCTCCTCCTCCTCCTCCTCCTCCTCCTCCCCCTCCTCCTCCCCCCTCCTCCTCCTCCTCCTCCTCCTCCCCCTACTCCCTCCTCCCTCCTCCTCCTCTTTCTCCTCCTCCACATTAACTCAATATGAATACTACTTTCCCTCTTCCCCTGATGACGATTTGAAATTGCTCGACCCCCCCCCCCGCGTTCTGTTTTTTTTACACAGGTTTCCTGGAGTTGAGTTTTCGCCTACATTTTTTCAAAATGCTGCTCTCCTCTCCTCCTCCTCCTCCTCCTCCTCCTCCTCCACAATTACTCATTTACAATATGAAATACTACTCTCCTCCTTCCCCTGATGACGGGTTGGGAGTGTTTCGCCCCCCCCCCCCCCCCCCCCCCGCGTGTTTTTTTTTTTTTTTTGCACACACAGGTTTCCTCGGAGTTGGGTTTTCGCCTGCATTTTTTTCAAAATGCTGCTCTCGT